ACCACCTCGGCGACCTCGTCCCCAGAGATTGGACAGCCCAACCCAGAGTCCCCAGGCTCGGCTTCCTCAACAGAAGCCATGTTGGTGGTATTGAGGAGGTCTTCGAGGTATTCCACCCACCGGCCCACAACGTCCCGAGTCGAGGTCAGCAGCAGACCATCGCCACTATAAACAGCGGTGATGCTGCACTGCTTCCCCCTCCTGAGACGCCGGATGGTGGACCAGAGTGTGATTCTTAGTTTATAAAATGTATTTGCAGTATAAATGCGTGTGATGCTGCAGTCATAAGGAACTAATATATTTGGTAGGATATTAAATTTAATTTCATGCAAAATCAACAGATTCACACATTTTTTTCTCACTAATTCATAATTGTTTGTTTGCTGCAAATTTTCTGTAAACATTACAATTAATGCAGAAACTTTAATAAATGGGAATCACTTTATTGCATCCAATATCAAGTTATGCCCTAAAAGACCATGAAGTGTCCTTCTGCCTCAACGAGCCAGGTTAGAGTTCACAGGGCCGCCTAAAATCCTTCAGAGGGCCAGAAACTGCCCCCGAGCCTCAGGTTGGACACCCCAGCTGTTCAGTACATTTACAGGATGAGATGTAAAACAGGACAGGTTGACAGAAACATGTTACTGGATGGCTCTGTTGTTGAAGCGCGGCTCCTTTAAGGCGGCGGCCATTTGTTTCTCCCTGCAGATCAGCAAAGAGACGCTCACCTTCCAGGACATCATGAAGTGTTACCGCAGCCAGCCGCAGGCCAGCAGCCACGTGAGCAACACTCACTCCTCAGCATCTGCAGCGGCTGCACAGCCTGCGCTGACTCTGTGTGTGTGTGTGTGTGTGTGTTCAGGTGTACCGTAGTGTGTTGCTTCGTCACACTCCCAGAGAGCAGCCAGCCGATGAAAACATGGAGGTGGACTCCGTGTCTGGAGGAGAATGTAAGAACAGATGCTAACTGTGTTAGCGTTAGCTGCACAGGTGATACTAGCAGCTTCACAGAGGAGACTGTGGAGGTTAAAGGTCATATCTGGTCCAGCTCAGTTTGTGAATGACTGGGCAACAAAAACAGTCAGGAGATGTAAAAACAATTTCATGTTTCTGTTTGTTGACAGAAACTAAAGAAGAAATGAGCAAACTAGTTATTTATTTTAGTTTCAGCTACATGGCGACGTTCTTCCTTATTTCCTTTCATCAGGGTGAGATATGGGTTTAATATTAATATTATTATTGCAATATCACGTCATGTTTTCCTTCAGCAGCAGAGAAAGCCAGTCAGCAGCCAGCAGGCAGACATCCTGACCAATCAGAGGAGGAGGAGCGTGGTGACCTCATCCAGTTTTACAACATGGTGTTTGTCCTGAAGATGAAGAGCTTCGCTATGCGCTACGCCACCGGCGACGCCCGGGTACGCCATGCTAACGCTCAGCCGGCATGATAATGCAAGCGCTGCCCTGACCTCTGACCTGTGTGTCCTGCAGGCCGACGCTCCACCCCTCTCTCCGTTCCCGTCGGTCCGCGCTCAGCCTCTGTCGCCGCGACGCGTCAGTCAGAGACACTCGCTCTACGTTTCACCTCACAAGAACTCAGCAGGGAGTCTGACGCCGAACTCCTTCACCTACAGGATCAACAGCAGCCCGTCCAAGGCAAACACACACACACACACACACACAAACACACAGTTCTCAGCAGAGGATGCGCCTGAGAATCAGCTGCCTTCTAAGAAATGAATCAGAAAAATAAGATTTTCGACAAAACGAGAAGAAAAGTACTTTTTTGGAAAAAGTCTTTACATATTTTTGTGCATTTTTTCCCACTGTATTTTTGGGACTATAAGCTGCTACTTTTTCCCCACGGTTTGAACCATGAGGCTTGCAGCGTGGTGCGGTTTTTTCTTCAACCACCAGGGGGCTCTTCAGCAGGAAGTGAACCACTGGAAGCGGTGGCGGCTGGTGGTGATATTTGAAGGGTGGGCAGCGTGGAAACATACCAAAGACCAAGCTTACATAGAGGCTCTGCAGTTGTCCGCATTAATTCCTCTGCATTAATTCCCCAACACTGAACACAATCACACTGGTAAAATTAAACATGATAAGATATATTTTGATATAAATGAGGCGTACCTTATTTAAAGAGAAACTCACTCCAACGAATTTTCTGCGATGCAAAAAGGCTAAATAATCCACCTAGTTTATGCTAATATTGCTCACCATCGCTCCTTCTCAGTCTACACCAAACCACGCCCACACACTGGCGCTTGAGGAAAGTCCATCCTGATTGGTTGAATCCTGTGGCAGTGGGCCGCACAGCGAGGGGGCGTGGCTAGACGCCTGTCAATCACTCTGAGCCTGACAGTTAGCTGAATGGGGCTGTTAGCCCTTCGGAAAGACCCGGGATTTTCCCAGGCGGTTTGACACCAGGTTTGTTGAAAATTTAACAAAATGTGATACATTATTTATAAAATTAAGTTATTTTTAAGTTGTTTATTTTAACAACTTTATTGTAAATGTCAGGGAGGGCTTAGCCCTGCTAGCCCACTTATAGCAGCCGTCCCTGATTGGAAGTCAAAATTGGAAATCAAAGAAGAAAGTCCTGATTTTCATTTAGAACAAACACATGCTAGCAGCAAACACGCCAGAGAAATGTTTCCAAACTCATTCCCCCTCATCATGGAAACCACAGGACCGGGTTCATATGATGAAGCTTTTAAGTTGAAGACTATTGATCAGATCGATAGTCGCTTCACATCAGCTCGGCGTGAACGAATCCATATCTAAAATATTTAAACTATTGCTCTAGTCAGAAACCAGATTTGAGATATATACTTTATCT